CCCCCAATTTTGGAAAATTCTAATATACATTCTTTTAAAAAGGGGTGTATTATATGTATTCCAATTCATGTCATTTTTTTCTGTGGTTATAACTATTTTTTTTTTTTAGTTATGACTTATGAATTCTTTAGTTATATCTCATGTGGTATTTAGTTATGATTGTTTTTAGTTATGATTAAGAAATTAAAAGTTATACCATTTTTCTTTTTAGTTATAAGATGTATACAGTGCATACCATTTAAAGAGGGTGCAACATAATGTTTCCCTCCAATTTTTAGGAAACTCTACTATACGCCTTCTTACTATATGCACCTTTAAATTATGCCATTTTTTTATTTATTGTTAACTTTATTTTAATTATGACTCATGAGATTTTTGATTATATCTTACATATTGTTTGATTAAGAATATTTGTTTAATTATAACTCATAAAATATAAATTTATAATATTTTTTTATTTAATTATAAAGTGCATACGATACACTCCATAGTCTTCTCCATATCACTCAACCCTAGGGGTGCAACTCAAGCGGGCTCAATCGAAGCAACCCGTGCCCAGCCCGAGTTTTTTTAGGGCTTGGGCAACAAAATCTTGTAATCTGGACGGGCCTGGGCAGATTTTTGATGCCCGAATTGTAATTTGGACCAGGCTTGGGCAAAGTCAGTGGCTAACCCGAGCAATCTGAACCCAAATTGCATTTAATATATTATATAAATTATATAATATATGTATAAATTAAATAGTTGGCCCTTAATTTTTTATTTATTTTTTGGATGGTCTTTGGCCCTTGGATTAGCATCTTTTATTTGGACTGTTAGATTAAAACTAAAAACAAAATCCTATTTATTCTTTCTTCCCTCTCTCTCAAACTCTCATTTCATTTCTCCATGAGAGTTCAAGAATAGCAAACGACGACAATGATGACGACGCCACGAACAACGACGATGCCACTCTTTCGATAAGCTTCGACGCCACACAAAACTGGTAGATCACTCTCTATATTTGTATTTGTGCTTTAGTTTGTCTATTTTTGGCCACTCGTCGTTCGATTACCACTCAAAACCGGTGATATTGATTTTAGAGGACTTTGGACTAATTCCATTTGGATCTGGTCAAAGAGCATTGTGAAATCAATATGCAAGTTGCAACAGTAGAGCTTACACTTGTCAATCTTCTTTACTCATTTGATTGGGAATTACCTGCTGGGATGAAAATTGAAGATATTGATACTGATATTAATCTTGGTCTTACAATGCATTAGAGAAATGTTGTTTGCCTAATGCTTAAGAACTGCTCTGTTTGTTGTATGGAATAATGATGCACTATTTGTTGCCTTGTGAAATTTAATTTTATATATAGCAGTGTTTGTGGTTGGGATGATACTTAAGTTTGTTGTACGGACTAATGGACTTATGTATATAATGAAGCACTGCTTGTTGTATAGAAAAATTTAGAAGCTGTTTATTACCTTGTGACATTCGGGCAATTTTGACTAACCCGAGTTCAAATTATGAAGCTTGGTCCAAGCTTGAGCAGTCATGGTCGGGTTGATGGTCAGGGTTGGACACTGCCAAACACAATTCGAGCTGGACTTGGCAAACCTCCAACCCGACTGAACCCATCCAAGTTGCACCCCTTTCCAACCCAAATCGCTCACATTCTCCAACCGTGCAAGTTTGTTTGGATAAAGTTGGATTGATACAGGTTGGCAAGTTATCGGGTATTTTTATACACATGATCTTCATACTGTTACAATCCGAGAGTAGAGCAGACCCAACCCGACTCATGCGTCAGGATGCTCTGGAGTGGTAATCCTGCAGTGATCTCCTGAAGTGAGGAGATCCGACGGTCGAAATTAAAACTAACCAAAACGACGTCGTTTTGGTTAGTAAATTGAAAAAAAATGATTTCAAAATTCCCTCCATTTAGAACAGGTATAGCAGTAGGAGGGAAGACAGAAGGAAACGAAAATAGAGTGCGAGAAAGAGAAGAAGAGAGAGAGTGGCCGCTCCTCCCTTCCTTCTGTCGCCCCGTCGTCGCCGCCGACGTGCCATCACACTGCTTCAGAATCAGATTGATGCACGCACTGCTTCAGATGAATTTGGATGGTGAGATTTGTTCTATTAAATACTTGGTCAGGATTGAGCTGTTAACGATGGAAACCAAACCTGAATATTAGAATGAATGAAAAATATGATGGACAAATAAGGCAGGAAAGAGAACAGAGATTGTGAAAATAATAACCAAAATAATTTTCAAAGCTTGTTGCAATCAGGTATTAGTTACTCTTGACTGATACAAATTGGGAAAAAGGGAGCATGATTCACTATGAGCTGCAACACAATGATAAACATAATGGATGCATGAAAAAAAGAAAAAAAAAACAAAGAAAAATCAGTAAGCATAGCAATGAGGAAAAATACTTTAGAACAGTGAAGTGAAAATAAGCAGTGCACTATGATCCAGAAGTTCATTACATACATTTCCTGGCTAATATAAGGCATGTAGTTTTTGTTTGAATCTTCTATATCACTATAAAACTATGCAATAGATGCTCTCTGATGTAAGGCAATCTATCTCGGTGCTGGCCAAGATTCTGAACTGTAAATTCTGAAAGGTGCTAAAATTGGTCTGTCAAATAAGATGTTGGAGTTGGTGTGGTTCAAATTGAAGGTTTCAACAATAGGGTGTTACCAAGGACATGGTGATTTTAGGGATAAAGGCGAAGTTCATAATTATTTTGGAAGGAGGTTCCAAATGGTATCCTCGAAAAGTTTGGGTTATCATGTTACAATAAAATTCATGGACCATCTTATTCTAACAGAACTCAATTTGCAAAAAAGTAAATATCTATCCACAAGATTTTTTAAGTTCTAGCAATCGGCAACTAATTATAGTTTTTGAAAAAATTTCCACTTCATTTACATTCTCTCTCTCTAGAATATTTATGTAGGAGTTGAATTTGTATCACTTGACCTTCTTGCTATATTTTCTCATTTTGTACTAACAGCACATACTTGATTCTGGGTGATTTCTTTCATTTTATATGAGTTTATAAATATTGAAGTCTCATCAATGTAGTTGTTATGCTCGTTTATGGCTTTGTGTACAATATGAATCTCAAATTTATGATGTTAAATTTTACAGGTGAATGGGAATGAAGTTGCTTTCATATCTCTTTTTTCCTTTGAAAATGACTTAAAGTCTCTCTCTCTCTCTCTCACTCTCTCTCTCTCTCTCATGTGTAGAATTTCTTATTAAAATCTACGTTTTATTTTAGGATTCCGGAGGCTTTTCCTTCTTTTCACAATCTCTGTTCTCTTTCCTGCCTTATTTGTCCATCATATTTTCATTCATGCTATTATTCAGGTATGGTTTCCATCTTCATAGACCTCAATGTTCAACAGCTCAATCCTGACCACGTATTTAATAGAACAAATCTCATCATCCAAATTCATCTGAAGCAGTGTGTGCAGCAATCTGATTCCGAAGCAGTGTGTGCAGCAATCTGATTCTGAAGCAGTGCAACGGCACGCCGGCGGCGGCGGCGGCAACGGCGGGGCGACGGGAGGCAGGGAGGACCGACCTCTCTCTTTTTTCTTCTCTCTCTCGCACTCTGTTTTCCTTTCCTTCTGTCTTCCCTCCTGCTGCTGCTATACCTGTTCTAAATGGAGGGAATTTTGAAAAAAAAAAAATCAATTTACTAACCAAAACGACGTCGTTTTGGTTAGTTTTAATTTTGGCCGTTGGATCTCCTCACTTTAAGAGATCACAGCAGGGTTACCACTCCAGAGGATCCTGACGCCCCGACTCATGCCTAGGAATGGCAACGGGGTGGGGTGGGGCCGGGGATCACCCTCCCTGTCCCTGATCCCCGATTGCCAAAATCTCCCCAGCCCGACCCCGATCCCTGACGGGGAACTCATCACCTCCCCGCCCCCATCCCCTAACGGGGATCGGGTTTCCCCGACCCCGAAATATCCCCGACAGTTCTCAACACACACACACACACACACACACACACACACAAGAACTGTTTAGATCAACAACCATCACCAACAGCAACAGATACATATATATATAACAACAGATGTATATATATAACTTTTAAAAAAAAATTTGTTCATTAACAAGAGAGAGAGAGAGAGAGAGAGAGAGAGGGCTTCTACAGATCGAACCACGGTCTGTCCAGATCCAGATCGGTAGCTTCAGATCGATCGGAGATGAGAGAGATCTGTCCATCGGTAGCTTCATATCACGGTCTGTCCAGCAGATCTGTCCATCTTCAAACTTGTCCTATATACGGGGGCTGTGACACGGTGAGATGAGAGAGATGAGAGACGTGAGTGAGGGAGAGAGAGACGAAAAAGATGAGAGGCGTGAGAACAGAAGCGGTGAGGGAGAGAGATATGGGAGAAGCAGTGAGATGAGAGAGATGAGAGACGTGAGTGAGGGAGAGAGAGACAAAAGACATGAATAAGAGAGAGAGAATAGATGAATCAAAGATAAAGTATATATATAGAATATATAAATCATTCGGGGGACAAACGGGGCGGGACTCGAGGCCGGGGCCGGGGCGGGCCTGGACTGAAACATGTATCCCCGTCCCTGACCCGAATATCATTGGGAATTTTTTTTTTATCACCATCCCCAGCCCATCGGGGATATTTTTCAAAAAATAACCGTTATATTCAGGATCGGGAAGTCGGGTGCCCAGCGGACCGGTTTCAGATTGCCATCCCGACTCATGCCCACCCGCAAATACAGTTTAGAATGGCCAGTGGCGGAGCCTCCATCGAACCAGTGACCATGGTGAGGACAGGACAGGTGTGAGGGAGGGTGGGATAGCAATTTTTAAAATTTGTAGGAGAGAAGTGATAAGAAGTGAGTGAGTAGTGACTGAATACTCAGAAAAGGGGTTAGGTTTTGAAATAATTTAGTATCATCGTCATGAGCACTGAGCAGTTGAAGTTAGTTGGTTAGTTTCGACCTGGTAAGCATTGCCTCTTCTCTCTCTCTCTCTCTCTCTCTCTCTCTCTCTCTTCTTTTTTGCTTCCTTTTCTGATTGTGCCCCAACCCAGTTGATGAATTTGAGTCTACATATAAAATCGATCTTCAATGTTCTAGGGTTACTTCTGTGTAACTGAAGCTTAATTTGGTAATTAATGCTAGTCCTTTGATACCCATTTGTGGAATTCTTGAAAAAGCTAGTGGGTTCTGTATTTCTAGCACCATCAATGTCTCTGTGTAGCATTTATTACTGTTTCTGTGGACACCATTTTTCAGATTAATCTTTATTTGGCTTCTATCTCTTTACACTTAACCTTGCATTAGTTACATTTTATTATCTTTATTTTTTTGCACTCGGTTCGGTTTGATGCTAGTGGATTAGTAAGTTAGGTTAGTTCTTTGATGTTTCTCTATAAACTGCGAACCTTCATGCATTGGTTACATTTCATGGTTCAATGGTTGTACAATTGTGGTTTAATATTGTGAGCTTGCCTCCTCCTTTGGGAGCTTGTTGAGCTGTTAACTAATGCCATTGTTTTCTTCTTTGCCTCCCTTATGTTCTGAAAGGTTCACTTTCCTGTCTCTATGAAGCTTTTTAACTTTTTATTTTTTAATTACTCGATATTCGATTAATTTTATCTTTAGGTTTTGCTAAGCAGGAGTTAACTAGCTGGATTTGGATATGCCAGTAACATTGGATTCTTTTTTGATTCTTTAACCTCCTCTTGCCTCTATAAAGCTGCCAAGGTTACTTTGTTCCTTGCTTAGCCCTACAGAAAATTCTTTACCAGCTAACTTTGTCAAAACCCTCTTCAATTTGATAACTATATTTTTCCATCCTTCAAAGTTCAAACTATTGATTACACTTGTATGTCCGGGTTATAATTACTGTTGTTGGAATTGTCAACTAGGCAAAGCTCCACTGATTATTTTTTTTTGCGGTTCAAATTCATTGGAAAATGGAGACCAGTGGTAATGGGGAATCAGGGCCTGAAAATAGAGGTGGGGGCCTTTTGGATTGTTCATCTTTGGGAAACTTCAAGCCTCTGACATCGGACAAGGTTCTTGGAATGACAGTTGGCTCGGAACCACTGTACAAGCATTGGAATGCACCGAATTCATCGTTCAGTGGTGGTTGGACTCCACAGAATGCGGAAATTGTGAATTCTCTCATGTCTTCCCATAATCAGATTGATAGCTTCTCTTACACTGATAGTTTACTACAAAGTCGAGGAACAGATAGCACCTCTCGCCTTGTTCAGTTTCAATCGGATCAGTGCCTAGCAGAACTAGAGCCTAACCTTCCGTGCTTTGGCGGTGGAAGCTTCGCGGAGATTGATAATTTCTCTATCCTGAGTAGGTGCCGCTGGATTTCTAATTCTAGTTGTTCTGTTGATAGCATTAACAAGAGCAATATAGCATTAATGTCACAAAGTGAAGCTGATAATTATGCACAATCTCCAGAGGATTGCAAAGTTTTAGAAGAAGGAGCTATGAAACCTTCACCTGATGGAAAGAAAAGAAAAAGAGATTATGACGATTGGTCTCAATTTGCACGGTTAGAGGTTAGCTGAACTACTTCTAATTAATTTCCATTGTTCAACATCTTCATGTTTTCTGATTTTGTTTAGGTCATCATTTTTCTTTTTTCTTTTTTCTTTTTTCCATCAGAACATGAAAACAGAGCAAGAGAAGGACCAATGCAACAGACAGCAAGATGAGGCGAAACCGAAACCCAAGCAAAAGGCAGTTGCTAATACATGCGCTCAGGTAGTGGGTAAAGAAGTTAAAGATAGTTCCACTAGTGGGGATGCTCCAAAAGAAGACTATGTTCATGTCAGGGCAAAACGAGGCCAAGCAACAAACAGCCACAGCCTTGCAGAGAGAGTATGTTCCTGTCTATGATTTATTTTCATTCTTATTGTAAGTTTTGCTCTTTTTTTTTTCTTTTTTTTTTTTTCCTTTTTCCTCAAGATCAGTAGCCTATAACATTTTCTTGACCTGCAGGTGAGAAGAGAGAAAATTAGAGAACGAATGAAGTTTCTTCAAGACCTTGTTCCAGGATGCAGTAAGGTAAAGTTAGAATTATCTTTGAGAGATATTGATTAGCCTTGTGTATTCTAATAGCTTCTACTCGACTTTCAGATTACAGGGAAGGCAGTAATGCTTGATGAGATTATCAACTATGTTCTATCATTGCAACAGCAAGTTGAGGTATGCTCTTGAAGCTCAAAAAAAAAAAGTTCTGGCTCTTTATTATATTCATAAATTGGTAAGGGAATTCTGTTTCATAAGCTTATCTATTGTAAATTTGCAGCAATCACTAAAGATTATAAGCTATCTAATAGGCGGGGCACCTCATAGGGGCCGTAGCTGGAGATTTTTGTTAGAAATTGATACATCTAAATAGGATTAGTGAGACACAAAACACAAATAGGAATAAAACAATAATCAAAATCAAGCACACCCCAACGTCCACGGCCATTGTGGTTTCATTAATTACAATACAATATAGAGAGATGTGACGCTTCAGCTATAAATACATAGTATTAGGGTAATAGGGCAGAACTATGAAATATCAAAAGTATCTTACTCCAAAATTCGGGTGGGGTGAGACCTCCAATCAGGTAGTTAGTGTTCAACATTTATCAGAATCCACACTATCTGACAATTTTAACAAGGCGTTTCTTTCTCTTATCCTTTTCAAGGAATGCCTAAAATCATCTTCAGGAATAGAAGAAAACATTCTCTTTCAGGAATCCAATGAGACATGGTTGATCAAGATTGTTCGGACATTGACCAAGAATCATTCTGTTTCAGACTCGGTTAGCTTGGCATAATTGAGCAGACAATTTCCCATGATGCATATAGTCACTCTCACTTGCATATTGATTTAATAGCCAGAATGAACAAATTATGCCATTTTACTCGTTCATTCTCATTAATATTGATGATGAACTTGTCTTTTCTTGTAGTTTCTGTCTATGAAACTTGCCACTGTTTATCCTGAAACAAATGCTGAGCATGAACAGATTCTCTCAAGAGATGTAAGTAACCAAGCAATGATTTTATGAAATTCAATATTAGGGTTCATTTTTTATCTTTATCTCAGTTCATTCCCGTGTAGATCCATCATTCACAAGGCAGCAGTGCAGCTATTCTAGGTGAACTGGGAATGAGCTCTTATCGAAAAGAAATCCTGCAAGGAGCTTTGCTAGCTACCAAGACATCAAACCTTGAATCGCTAACCATGTCGAATGTAGGTTAAAGACATACTAGAAGTTACATTCCAAGCCCTTCTTCATCAGAGATCTAATTTGAAACAGCTACTCACAGGTGCCAAACATATGGGAAAATGAGCTTCACAATATCAGCCAGATAGACTTCATTTCTGACTTGGCACCTGAGAATCTGGAATCTAATGGTAGATTTCAAAATCTGATTTTTCTTTACATTTTTCAGTGAAGTTAGCTGATAATTTTTGAAAACTTTGTTGTCTTGTGCAGGTTGAATTGAAGCCATATATTTCATCGTGAATTAGAGGCTAATTATTTATAACAACGAATGCTTTCATTTATCCTTCTGTCAATTGCATTCTTAATATATGTGGTTCATTCATAGTCTTTATTGAAAAAAGAAAAGAACATATAGATCAAAAGCTGCTAACTTGGTTCCTCGAATTTTAGCAGAAGGTGCTTTGGTCAATGCAGATGGTGTGTCCAGTGAAACAATATTGTATTTGTGGTGAGACCTAACAGGAGAAGAATGATGATTGTTTACTTGGGAATTTTTTTGAAGTGCAAGGTTGTATTAGAGGCTTTCATGGGAGGTCATTTTACTTGCAATGCCGGGCTCCAAACCAATTGCAGAATTTTCTTTATTTGAGTGTAGAATGTTTTGCATAATTTTAGCTGAAAACACAATTTTCTGGGACTTGGCAAGTTTTACATTGAATGATCTACTAGTACGTTTCATATCATGATTCTCTGGGCTAAAAAATTAATGGTCCTTTGTTAATGCTTGTGTTTGTTGTTTTTGTAAACTAGAAACGAAACTTGTGTGGTATATTGTTTCATTTTCATAATAGTGGAATCAATTTCAAATTTTCAAAATTTATAGAAATGAAATATGTATATATATATTGTTTTTAAAATATGTTTTCATTCTCTTCCCTATTCTCCACAACAACCCTTCACCACCTCTGTCGAACCCTCCAAATTTTTTTTCTAGATAGAACATTTTCTACATATTGATAATAAAAAGAAAAATTAAAAAAATAAAAAACAAAAACAAAAACAAATAAATAAATAAATTATTTGAGTTGTAAAGGGCATGTATATGGAAAATGTCTCGTAGCTCAAATTTTGTGGCTCAAAAGTGGCTCAAATGGCCAAAACGATGTCGTTTTGGCCATTTGAAGTTAGTACAAATTACTGGTAATATTGATTTTTTCCTTCGCTTAATAAATAACAATGAGATATTACTAAACTTAAATCTTAAGAGTCCATTTGGATAAATGAGAATTTTAAATTAAAGAATTTGAGGTTAAATTTTGTACAATATTGGGAAGTAACTATTTTAGGTGGATTGAAAAATTAAAAAAGAAATAAGTTGAGATATAAATAATAGGGTGAATTACATTAGCAGCCCCTATAATTTGGGGTTTGTGTCCCTTTAATTCTTGACTTTTCAATTATTATACATTTGACTTTAAATTTTGAATCTTATTCTAAATAAGGACAATTGAGGTTATCATTGCTCAATTGCAAGGGTAAAGTTGTCAATTCGATAAAATATAAACTAATTTAACAAAAAAAATATATTAAAAAAAATATTTTTGAATTTTTAAAAATAATTTCTACCCACCAAAGATAAAATTATCTAAAACTGATAAATCTTTTAGACATTTATTTATTTATTTATTTTATCAAATTAATTTTTATTGTGTTTGGATGATAATCATGTAATGGATGGTTGTTAGGCTTTTAATATGTAATCGATATATTTAATATATGAAATGTTTTTAATTTTCAATTTTTTAATTTAATTCGTTTAGTAATGATATCAAAATTGTCACCATATTTGACTTTTAGAAAAATATAAACTAATTTGATGAAAATAAAAACAATCATTCATTACATGATCATTATCCAAACACAAAATAAAAATTAATTTGGTAAATAAATAAATGTTTAAAAAATTTATCAATTTTATATAATTTTATCTTTAGTGGGTAGAAATAATTTTTAAAAATTCAAAAATATTTTTTTAACATTTATTTTTGTCAAGTTACTTTATATTTTATCAAATTGACGACTTTGCCCTTAAAATTGAGCAATGATATCTTCAATTGTTCTTATTTAGAACAAAATTCAAAATTTATGGTCAAATATGTTACAATTGAAAAGTCAACGACCGAAGTGACATAAGGCCCAAACTTTAGGGACTGTTAGTGTAATTCGCTATAAATGATATATTTTAATAAAAAAATTCTATAAAACACACCACAAAAGTGTGTATTATATGTCGCAGTTATAATCTTTGTGGTCTTCATAACACATTGTAGTGTTGGATATAACTTAATTATAAATTTTTGTGATTGTTATTTTGGTTGTGAAAAAAGAAGTATTTGGTATGCATTAATGGTTAGTTATGACTAATTCTGATGTTAATTATGACTTATTACGATTGTGATTGTGTTTGTGTGTGTGTGTGTGTGTGTTTTGTTATGATTAAAGATGTGTTATTTGGTTATAATTTATATAGTGGTCATTTTAGTAATGAATGAAAATAATTTTGTTACGACATTTTATTATATTAATAATACAAAGTCATAGCTTGTATATAGTATACCCATTTTAGAGGTGTATAATAGAAGACCCATTTTAGTAGGTTCCTTGTGATTAGAAGGAAAATTTATAATAGAGTGACACTATTACAAGTTTAGAAATGAAATACTATTTAGTGTGTTTGATTTCAGTTTTTTGAATTCAGTTTTTTGAAAATTATGTTTTTTGTTTTTCGTGTTTTTTTTTTTAATGAATATGTTTGGAATTTTAAGCAATTTTTTTTATATTTTTTTAGATGCACCTTACTTTGATGTATCTAAATAGTAAAATATTTGTGAAAAAATATTTTAAAAAATTAATAAATACACAAAAATAAGAAAAATGTACTGAATTTTCATATTTTTTGGTATTTAGTATATTTTTTAAAGATCTTTTTTTCACAGATATTATATTTTTTTAAGTATATTTATGTTAAGTGTGTCTAAAAATTTTTTAAAAAAATTGCTTAAAATATTTAAAAAATAATTGAAAACATTAAAATACGAAAAATAAAAAAAAAATTTCTAAAAATTGTTTTATGAAATCAGAACTAAATAAACTGATTGTAATTTTATTAAAAATATATATGATATAATACTAATGTAATTATCAAAATTTCAGAGTCCTGTACCACTGGTCCCATTCTAGTTTTGTCCCTGCTGCTTACCCACCAAATCAACAGAAAAACACACAAAAAAATTGAGAGGGGACCTTGAAATGTCTTGAATGAAAACTACACAAACAAGTTATATGGGTGTTAGTCTTTATGGACCTTCCTTCTATATTTAATTTAGGAAAGTCTGTTATATTTGTCTTGCTTTTATTTATAAATCATTATCCAAACAGGCCACTAAAAGAAACGTTTGTCTAGCATAGTCCAACCCAAGTCTTTTTCATGCACACATGCATCATGCTAGAAATGAGTTGTCCCACCCTAATATCTACAGTAGGTTTGATAATATTTGTCTTCACAAGGCCCAAATGATAAATTGTCTCTCGTTATGGATTGGAATTATATAAAATTAATTTTATTAAACTTGTCCGATTTATTATATTTTTAAGAACATGAAATATTATTGCATTTATTCTAAAATTGATTAAGATACTTAATTGACTAAGCATAAAAGAAAGTATTATAATAGGTAATTTCAAAACCTAACCAAAAAAAATGAGTTAATATTTTTTTCCTTATAATTTTTTTTATTACGTCATTAATTAAGAATACAACATAAATCATATGATATTTTAGAATCGATAGTATTACATATATCAATTAGTATACTAACTAGTGTATTAACACTAGTTATGACATTATTATTAATCCTACTTATTATACAAATTACAAATATTAAAATTCTCTTAAATTATACTACATCATCAATTAATATACTAATTAATGTATATAACATTATTCTTTCAGAATTAATAAATAATCCCACAAATAATAAATGAAAGGATCTTTATCTACTTCAAGTTGCTTAAGGCCCCGTTTGTTTTCAGAGATAGAATGGAGGGGACTGATAGTGAGAGGATTAAGTAAAATTGTGTTTGTTTTGATGATAGTTGTTAGTGTAGGGATTGTTAAATTATTTTTATATAAAATAAATATAAAATAATAAAACAAATAAAAAAATACAAATACATTAAACATTAATGTTTTAAAAAAAATGCCCAACATGTAAAAAATTTTAAAAAAATAAAAATAAAATAAAAAAATTCAAAAAAAAATAAAATAAATAAAATAATGATTTTTACTTAACAAAAAATACAAAAAATTAAACATTAATGTTAAAAAAAATGCCTGATATGTAAAAAATAAATAAAAATAAAAAATTTCTAGTCCACCAGACTATTTTTTTAATACAAAGTCCTAGAGGCCTATCTGAATCCCATCTACAAGGCCTATCCTAAGCCCTTCGGCTTAGTAGTCTCTTCCTCAACTCTGTAAACAAACAACACATTAAATAGGACCCACAGCTATCCTAATCTCAATCCCCCTCTCATACCCCAAAACAAACGGGGCCTAAATGTCAAGTTGTTAGGGCATCCACAACGGGATGGCTAAAAAAGTGTATTAAGGTGTGTTATATGACAAAAAGTAATAAAAGTGAGGCCAAAAAATGTTTGTTAAGATGTGTTAAGAGTTTGTTAATTTTAGAGAGTGAGTGATGATGCAATGGATGTGTTAAGGGGTGTGTTAAGTTGTGTGTTAAATATATATATATATATATATAAAATAAATAAAATAAATAAATAATTTAGTTTAATCAAAAATTTCAAGTCCAAAATTAAATTTCAAGTCAAAAATAAATAAATAAATTTTCCGTTGACTGGTCAACCGGCCGGACGTCCGGCCGGTCAACTCGTAAAACAAAAAAACACTTCCCTTCCCAGCTATAACTCTCGCTGCAACGCTCTCCACAGATAACAAACAAGTTAACAACTGACCTTAATACACACCACTAACACACACGTTAACACATCCATTATAAAATTCAAATATTAGTGTAACTAGCTAAACTTTGACCACTAACACTTACGCCCTCCATTGTGGATTAGGGGTAAGCATGGTTCGGATTAGACCGGATTTGAGTAAAACCTGGACCAATTCGTTATCTACGGTTCCTGAAAAATTGGAACAAAGCCAATCCGTTTAAATCATGGAACCAATCTGAACCAATCCATTTAAATACGGATTGGATTGGATTGGTTTAGGACCACAGATTCACATAATTAAATAACAAAAATATATATATATAACACTTTAATTTCGTAAAAATATAAACATAGCGCTATATTAGTTCCACAATAGTAACATCTATTTCTATAATAGCGACATACTGTTCTAGAATTTAAACAACCATAAGAAAACTAGTTTCACTATAAGTATTTAGACCATTACAAATTAAAACTAAAAACTAACAAATAAAAGTAATAAAAGAAGATATAATACAGTTTTAGATTTGAGTTTAGATTTTATATAGAATAAGATAAGATATTATGGGAGAGAATATATAATAGAAATATATGCTATTTGTATATGGTCCGGATCGGTTCCAATCCGGAACCGTGGGGTTTAATCTGGAACCAATCTGTGTACTACGAATTTTTAATTTTTTAATCCAAAATCAAATCACGAATTCAAAAAACT